GTGCGCGTGACGATTTAATTCGTTCAGCCGTGTCGGGTGGTGGAGGAGGGGGGGTCTTAACCACACAAATCTGGTTAGTTAATGTCGTGGCCTAACTTTTAAATCGCGTACGAGTCACGTACCGTATTGCATATATTTTTTTTTAATGACACGTGGATCATTTGAATCTGAAGAGATTACAGTCAACAAAGAATGTTGAACAGAACTGAACAGTGCGCAGAGACGCGCGGGCGAGACGCATGCTTGAAGTTGCACTTCGAGACAGGAAGAGAGAGGGACACGTGGATTAGAAGACTCACGCGGGCCTCACGACAGCGTGCCCGCTGTGGACGACAGTCAGAGTGAGAGGCTTGGGCAGGGCACGTCGTGGCTCGAGGAGACGGAGCCAGCGGTCGAGACGAATAGCGGAGCGCAGCCAAAGGGGGGAGTGATGGAACACCAGCGGCCGAGAGGATCGTCGTTCGCGTGTAGCAGCAGCAGCGGCGGCGGCGGCTGGGCCGATTGCTACATTGCAGGAGGTGGGATGAGAGGTGGCGGCGGCTTAAGGGAGGCCTACATCCAGCAGTGGATTGACCATGGCTGATGACGATTTGTATGCGTTTGAGAAAATCCTCCTCCTCCAGCAACAAAAAACAAACAATATCCAGTCGCTCGGTGCGGAGAAAGAAAGAAAATAAATAATCATGAAGAAATAAAACGCGGAGCTTGGGAGAGGCCTACATCCAGCAGTGGATTGACCACGGCTGATGACGATTGTATGATTTTTGGGAATATCCACCTTCTCCTCCTCATCTTCCAGCAGTAGCAACAATAACACACCAATCCAGTAGTTCAGTGCGGAACAAAACAATAATATAAATAACAATGAAAAATAAAAAAAATAAACGCGAAGCATCTGGATGTTGTGACATCTGCGTTGGCGGCTTATTGAGGTGTCTGACCTGTACCCGGCGTGTGCTAAAACATTAACTAATGGTGGCGTGACACGACAGGCGAGTAAAGTAATGCGCGCTAACAAATTCACTCTCCATAAATTGGAGTCTTAACCTTGCCCGGCCCGCGTCGCGGCCGAGGGATGGACGCGCAGTTTCGAAGCCTCGACTGGAAGAGTGTGTGAACGTGCATGTATGTATGTGTGTGTGTACGCGTGTGTATGTGTATGTGTACGCGTGTGTATGTGTGTGTGTGTACGCGTGTGTATGTGTACGCGTGTGTATGTGTGTGTGGGTGGAAGCGCGCTGAGCTACGAACCCGGCGACCCAGGTTCGTTTCCCGCTCACGGCCAACACCAGTGACGATTATTTGAACCGGTCCTGGGCCCTCCCCGAGGTCGACTCAGCCTAAAATTAGTACCTGGTGCGGTGTGTAAATATCGCTACTAGGGAGACAAAGGCGGCCGGGCGTGGTGCTGGCCACCCACTCCCTCGTGTGCCGTTCTGACCTTGATATGTGCTCGCTAACAGCACTTGCTCCAACAGTCCGTTAAGGCTATACGGGGGATCTTTGTCTTTTTGTGTGTGTGTGTACGCGTGTGTATGTGTGTGTGTTTGTGGTGAGTTGTATGTGTGTGTGGGGGAGCGGTAGCGTAGCGGTTCGCGAGCTGCGCTACGAACCTAGCCACCCGAGTTCGATTCCCGCTCACGGTTACCAACAGTGACGATTATCTGAACCGGTCCTGGGCCTCCCCTAGGTCGACTCAGCCTCAAATGAGTACCTGGTGCAGTGCGTAAAAATATCGCCACTGGAGAGACAAAGGCGGCTGGGCGTGGTGCTGACAACCCACTTCCTCGTGTGCCGTTAGGTGCTCGCGAACAGCACTTGCCCAAACAGTATGTTAAGGCTATCCGGGGGATCTTCGTCTTTCTGTAGGGGAGCACAGGTGGTGCATCTGCCGCTCATCACGTGGCCTCAACGTGCACCTGGCCTGGTAAAGGCGACGAGGTGACGTCACCGAGCGTTGTGGCTGTGTGCGTGAGAGCGTGGCTACGTGTATGAGTGGGCACGCGTGTCTGTTCGTACGCGGTTGCACCCGATTCAAGAGCCGAATGGCTCACAGGGCTATATCAAATAAATGAAACTGAAACTGTGTGAACCGTCGACACGGCTGCAAAGGAGTAATCTGGCACCAGCACTGGGGAGACAAAGGCGGCCGGGCGTGGTTACTGGCCATCATTGGTGCTCGCCAACATCACTTATCCCAAGAGACCCTAATGGGTCTGATGACTACACCGGGGGACGCGTGGCTTGTGGGACAAGCAGGGAGGTGAAAATTGCACCGTAACGCATTTAGGGGGATAGACACGGAGCTGATCCGTTTGCAATCCCCCCTCTCTCTCTCCTCTCTCCGTTGTCGCGAGCGCTTTGAGACCGCATCACTCAGCGCGTTCATTATTCCGCGCTTTACGCGTGCGGGGAGTTAGGAAACAGCACGCGCAGGTACCGGTTGGCGAACGCGTGCCACGTGGCACACGGAGAGGTGGAATGCGTGCCGGAGAAGGCGCGGACTCTAACGCATATGAGCAGATGAATGATGCTTCATTGATTGAGGTGGGGGGGGAGTTCTTATTGAGAAAAAAAATCACATTTAATCCAGGGGGGGTGGGGGGGTGTTTCTTATTGAGAAAAAAAATCACATTTAATCCAGGAAGAGTCGATCTCCGCAAAGGGGATTCTCGTTGTAGGATTAAAAACAACAACTCTTACCGTATTCTCTGGATTGTAAGATGCTCCAGAAAGTAAGACGCACCCCAGGACTTGTGCTTTAGAATACAGTGGAGAGGAAAACGAAAATTGTCGAGACTTATAATCCAGAGAATACGGCAGCAATTTTACGATGTAGTTGTTGGGTGAAGTGCTCAGATTTATGATTGGGGCTGCAGGCCTTGCGCAGTGGTTAGCCCTGGGGAACTTGAACGGTGCGAGTGGGGAGCGGTGGTGCAGCGGTTAGCGCGCGCCGTCTCCGAAGCAGGCGACCCGAGTTGCGATCCCCGCTCACGGACACCAACACCAGTGACGATTATTTAAGCCGGTTATGGCCCTCCCCTAGGTCGACTCAACCTCAAATGCGTTCCTAGTGTGTGTGTAAACATCACCACTGGGAAGACACAGGTCACCCACCCCGTCGTGTACCGTGCCGGCTCGCTAACAGCATTTGCCCCAACAGACTGTTCGGGCTATAAGGGGGATCTTTGTCTTTGTTGTGGGTGGGGAGCGGTGGTGCAGCGGTTAGCGCGCGGCGTCTCCGAAGCCGGCGACCCGAGTTTCGATCCACCGCTCGCCGTCAACATCAGTGACGAGTATCTGAACCCGGTACTCGGCCTTCTGTGCGTCAGCCCTTCCTAAAATGAGTACCTGGTGCAGTGTATAAACATCGCATCTGGGGATACAAACGCGGTCGGGCGTGGTGCTGGCCACCCATATATATAGCCTATTGGGGGGAGGGTGGGTCGGTGGGTCTTAGTCCCGTGTGATTGTGTGGCGTTTGGAACATTCACGTAGCCATTCATGTCCAGACCTCCCGTGCCATTGGGCCAGCACTGACGATTCGCTTGCCTGACCATCGCGGTCGGTTAATTAAAAAACCGGGGACTGACTCAAATCAACACAATCATGATTTGAAGCTGTCGTGACTGCGGTGGAACTGCTGGATTATATTTTATCCGCCTGAGGACGAGCTTACGTGACTTTACCGAAATAACCAAAGAGCATGACTCAACGCAGTTTGCTCCTCGGCTGACATCCACAGGAATGCGCGCACTCATTGGCTGCTCGGCTGCTTAATCGAATGAACGGATGGAGGAGGTCCGCACCATTTGGGTGAATATGGAGGCAAGAGAGCTCTGCGATGGTCGTTACGTGGCTCCAGCTGCTGCCGCCACCGCTGGATTTCGTGGAGAAATGGTTGCCAGTCAGCAACATTTCTGACTGCCAACGATGTCTGACGGCGGGAATATCTCGCGTTTCCCGCCTCCTTCGCACGTTTTGTTTTGTTTGACGTCGGAGCCACGGCTGTCATCACCCGCAGCTGGGATGCGTCGCTCCCGAGGGTGTTAGCCGGGTGGGTGGGGGGGGGGTGAATAAGTCGCGCGAGAACGAATGAAAGGGGACTAAACTCGCTCGCCGATAGGGGGATGTGTTTTACACGCGCGGCACCAATTGGTGCTTTGCATTCTTGGTTCTTTCGGTAAAGTCACGTAAAAATAAAACATATATATTTTCTATCTACGTGACTTTACTGAAAGAACCAAGAATATGAATACCTGCAGTCACGAAAATGTAAGTACAAAATTGTAGTGCTTTGTAGTTTTCACGAACGGTAAACCCTGGGCTTGGCTTCCCCAGCACGCTCGGTAACACTTCATAACAACAACAACAACAAATGACAGCCCTTGGTCGATTCATTGTTGGGTGAGTCTTCCCCGTGCCGTGTACGTCACGGGGGTCTTTAGACCACGTTTCACCACCACGCGGGTCGGCGAGCGTTTGATGAACGGGAGGCTCAGAACCGGTTCAGATATCACTCGCCACTGCTGTTATCCCCGCTTGGGTATCGAACCGAGGTGGCCGGACGATCAAAGCGCGGTGCGCTAAACCACTGCGCGACCGCGTCCCCGCAGAATCGGTGAATTCGTGAGCGCCGATTATCCTGGTGAGTTTTAAATTTTTGTCTTACAAAAGAGAAGAAGAAGAAGACGATCAGAAACGGCCGTGATCGGCCGGGGGGGGGGGGGGGGATGAATCGCAAGACGCGCGCCGCGACCGAGAGCGGCGATCGACGACAGTGACGCGCCGAAGCAGAGAATAAATAAATAAATATAATTAGAGAAAAATATTTATAACCAACAACATGTTTTTTTTTTACTGAAATGAATAAATAAACACGGTCACAACCGAATCGTGGCCACCACCGCCGCCTCCCCTCCTCCTCCTCCACCTCCTCCCGCGTCTGGCCGGTTTTTTTTGCGTTCGTGGGGGGGGAGCTGGGTGGGGGGGGCCTGGGCTGGCTCATAGCAGCGCCTGCGACCCCTTTAATCGCAGCGAGTGGAAGCGTCGCCTCCTCTCTCGGCCGCGACGGCGGTCGTGCCCGCGGTGGGCCGTCGCGACGCTCGTGACGCTTCGACTGACGTTCAAGGCGCCGCCCTACGCCAAGACGCCGCCGCTCCCCCTGCGAACGACCCGACAGTCGCCGGGCACCCATCGGTGAGCGCGCCGTCGTAATTCAAAATTTGGCGGGGAGGGTGGGGTGGGGGGCGCTTTGTTGTTGTTCCTTCCAGAAGAAAATTAAAGCGTGATGGTGACAGTGCGCCCGTCTCCGCTCTTCCTCGTCACCGCTGGCGGAAGTGCCCTAGGATGCCTCGTCTCGCCTCGTGGCAGCTGTCAGAGCAAAGCACCCCACCATCTCCACCCCTACCGTGTGCCGTCAATACCGGGCAAATTACTTCTGTCGGGAGCACCTTCGCCAGCAACGCCGGGCGATAGACCGCGACTGCCAGTCCAAGATTCGATGAGATCCGACGCATTCCCGATCGGCTGGCTACTGCCACGGTAAATGTGGAATTTCTACTCTGCCCGAGTACAGGACCACCGAGACTGACCATGTTGCTAACTGGCCGTCGATGTTGTTATTCCAGAAAATTCGAAGTGAAGTTGGTGGATTACGCAGACGTGGAACGGTCACGGGTGAGATTTTCACACTTTAGGAAGCGAAAGTTAATTTATAAGGCAGTACGGCAAGTCGGCATGGTTTGACTCATGCTCCACCTCTATGGGTTGATTCCATGAACTCTGGTTTAATTCCACACCCGCGGACACAACTTAAAAAAAGACCTTAATTTAACAAAAAATATATATTCCCGAACAAAATAGAATTACCTCTCAAGCCTCAAGTGAGGTTTTTTTTTATTTCTGGGTAGAGCTCTCACATGACGATTATTGTAATTCTCTTCATTATTAATTGGCACAACCAAAGGTTAAAGAAATCCAATCTCGAGGAAAATTCACCGATGCAAAATATTCCGAGGCCCTGCGGAGTGAAATGAGGCGGGGGAACCCTCTCTGTCTGCCACTGAACGTCTCACTACAAAGGACGACTCAACTCGCCGTGGCACACTGTCAACATTCACATTACAGTGACTCACTGTCAACATTCACATTACAGTGGCTCACTATTAACATTCACATTACAGTGACTCACTGTTAACATTCACATTGCAGTGGCTCATTGTCAACATTCACATTACAGTGGCTCACTGTCAACATTCACATTACAGTGGCTCACTCTTAACACTCACATTACAGTGGCTCACTGTTAACATTCACACTGCAGTGGCTCACTGTTAACATTCACATTGCAGTGGCTCACTGTTAACATTCACGTTACAGTGGCTCACTCTTAACACTCACACTGCAGTGGCTCACTGTTAACATTCACATTACAGTGGGTCACTGTTAACATTCACATTACAGTGGCTCACTGTTAACATTCACATTACAGTGGCTCACTGTTAACATTCACACTGCAGTGGCTCACTGTTAACATTCACATTGCAGTGGCTCACACATTGCAGTGGCTCACACATTCACATTGCGTTAGAGGGATTAGCGTTGGCCACCTGCATGAGTGTTTGAAGGAGCCAATCTTTGATTGGGTTTCTCTCACTGACTCATCTCTCTCTCTCTCGGTGAGTTTTCAGGGACACGACGCCTGTGCCAACCCCCGCGGGCATCACGGCGGTGCCAACCCCTGGGGGCACCACGGCGGTGCCAACCCCTGGGGGCACCACGGCGGTGCCAACCCCTGGGGGCACCACGGCGGTGCCAACCCCTGGGGGCACCACGGCGGTGCCAACCCCTGGGGGCACCACGGCGGTGCCAACTCCCGCGGGCACCACGGCGGTGCCAACCCCTGGGGGCACCACGGCGGTGCCAACTCCCGCGGGCACCACGGCGGTGCCAACCCCTGGGGGCACCACGGCGGTGCCAACTCCCGCGGGCACCACGGCGGTGCCAACCCCCGTGGGCAGTCGTTGGTGCTCAGCGGCATTGGCAGCACGAACCGCGGCTCCATTCTCTGTAAAGTGCACGGTCGCTGAGCACAGAGGCTCAACATCGCAAGCGGCCAGCAATAAACAGCACGAGCGACGGTGCAATGGACGAGAGTGTAACATGGGCTTCTGGAATTGAGCGAGGTTAGTTCGTGGAGGAACTGTGGAAGAGAGGCGATCTGATATATTGCCACACTGGTCCATTGCGGACTTTGCATGAGCGTCACTCACTCCTCCACCACCCTTGTGGAGGACTCGGTCTACCAGGGACTCGGTCGTATCCACACGGTGTTCACAACACACTTACCTACTCACTCACCCACTCACTTACCCACTCACTCACTCACTTACCCACTCACTCACCCACTCACTCACCCACTCACTCACCCACTCACTTACCCACTCACTCACCCACTCACTTACCCACTCACTCACTCACCCACTCACCCACTTACTTACCCACTCACTCGCCCACTCATTCGCTCACTCATTCGCTCACTCACCCACTCACTCACTCACCCACTCACTTACCCACTCACTTACCCACTCATTCACTCACGCACCCGCTCACTTAACCACTCACTCACCCACTCATTCACTCACGCACCCGCTCACTTACCCACTCACTCACCCACTAACTTTACCACTCACGCACCATACTGCAGATCACATCAACACACTCATACATTCACTCGCCCCCTCACTCATTCGCCCCCTCACCACACCGCGGACCACACTGCATGTCACAAACACACGTTCACACTCAAGCACACACTCGCATGTAATACGTGAGTTGATATTCAATGTGGAGAGCCGTAAACAATCATCATTGTTACCAATTGAAAGTGTTTAAATGCATGAGCGGTATTGGTGTTTTTTTTTCCCCCGTGCAATATTTGTTTCGCTTACCCAAACGACTCCCCACTGCTGCACCTTAGCGTGCCCCGTGCTGTGCTCCGTTTCTATAAATTTACATTTCACTTTCAATTCTGGAGTTCCTGGGCCAGATCTCCCCTTCTACTCCGGCATTCTCTCACGACCCTCGCTCTCTCTCTCTCTCCGTCCCACCACTCCTCGTCGCCCCCTCCGTCATCTCCATCGCCCCCAACGTTGTTTGCTCCACTTACAACCAGGCCGGCATTGTTGGCAGATGGCTCTGACTCACAATACGCGTCCAGGATCAATACAATCAGTACCACTTTGTGGGCAAATCGATGGCGGCTTTCCCCGAGGGATTGATACTGGTCCCACGTAATGGGAATGTGGATTTTTCTTTCCCACTGCTGGTTCGGAGCTGCCGATGGAGATGAGCAATGCCTGTCCATGTCATCTTCTACTTAGAGACACTCTGGGGAAGGTTTCGAAAGGGTAAAAGTAGAGACCCCCGCGCTACTGCCCGCTCTCGCCCATGCTGGCAGAACGCCCTAAATTGGAGGGCACTTGGGAGGGCGTCACGTCTAACTTTTCCACGCCGAGCAGACGTCTTGGAAGGAGAGACACGTTGCCGAGACTTGTATTCCCAACCTCGCTGCCTGCCGCTTCCACGTGCTATCGCTTGCAGTCCGCCTCTCTGATGTTCTCCGCCGCACTCTGTCGCCTCCCCCCCCCACCCCCTCTTCTCTTTAACCCTCCAGTTATCGTTTGATCTCTGCAGCCCTTTTATCTCACTTTGCCTCCTCACGCTACGGCGCCCCGACTCTCTCGCCAGATATTATTCTGCGCTCTGGAGGTACGGGGCCACCCGGGTGTGAAATCCCCCTAAATCGAACACAAGTGCCCGCACGATTGAGGTGGATTTCTTCATCATCATCATCATCTTCTTCTTCTTCTCCTTCCCAGGGTATGCAGCGCGTTGCGTGAGATCGGGTCTGCGGGGTTCGTTTTATTTTTTAGTTTTTCAAGTTGTAGCTTCTCTCCTCTCCCCTAAAATAATTTAAAAAAAAATATATATAAAGCTCTCTCACAATTGACTCTTTATATTCACGGCGGTACAATTTATTTCGCAAGGTGCCTGCATGGGTGCCGAGTAGAAACTCGCGGTGCCAATTTTGCAAGCCGGTGGTAAAATGAAGACGTTCAGAAGACGACATGGTAGGTTGTGATTATTGATATCATCGGTATGACTATTTATAGCGCCCGTTAAACCAGGAAGGTCGCCCTGAGTCTCGTAACTCTTTCTCAGGAGGGTCCTGCCAAGATTTCGCAGTAGGAGGGGGGTGGGTGGGTGGTGGAACGGGGAACGATATCGCTACTCGGTGTAATCCCAGATTGTGTAATGATTCAGCATTGGGATGTTATTAGGCCAACGCCGGCTACGCCCCGTGGTTGATTAGTTGCAGGAGGATGCCGGAGAGAACGCGGAGGAAAGCCTCACAGAACTGAGGGATTAGAACGATTTTACTCCGCGTCGAGAGTATTTTGTCGAGGCTTGCAGATGTGATGATGGGAAGCCAGTGCAGGACGGGGGAGTGACCCCGGGAGGGGGGGGGGGGGAGAGAAGACGCAAGGAGAGATGGTGGGAGACTCTGAGGACAGATTTTGGAGGGTTGCCACCGGGTCTCCTGTGCAGCAGCTGCGGGATCTGGCGGAGTGGGAAAGAGAGTGGTGGTGGTGGTGGTCGAATCCCGCTCACGACCGACACCAAGCGACAATTATTTGCACCGCTCCTGGGCTTCCCCTAGGTTGACTCAGCCTCATATGAGTTAGATGGTGCGTTGCGTAAACATTGACACAAGGGAGACCAAGGCGGTCGGGCGTGGTGCTGGCCACCCACCCCCATCATGTGCCGTAGGTGCTACTCGCTAACAGCGCTTGCCCCAAAAAGTCTGTTGAGACTATAACGGGGGGATCTTTGGTGGTGGTTGTGATGATGGTGGTTGTCGTGGCATCAACGGCTCAGGCCACGATGATGACGTCTCGATCTCGATCTTGAAAGGAAATGAAAACGTCAACGAGTGGAACGTCGCGCCGAGCGAGAAGGAGAGAGAGCGAATACTTCCATTTGGCGGTGTCGCCAGCGTCACTTAGAGCGGGGGGGGGGGGTGGAGTGGGGGTGGAGGATTGACTTCGCACGATCCATATCGCCATGGCAACAGAGATCATCTCTTCTCACTTGCGAATTGGATAACGAGTGTTGAAGCGCACCCCCCCCCCCTCTTCCCCCCCCCCGCCGCCACCGCCGCTTTGATTTGGGAGACGCGGAGAGTTGGACTCTGGTGGCAATCTGGACGCCTGCCGACCCGGCGCTTATGGGAGGCAAGGGTTGGTGGATCGCGGAGATGATTTGTGAAACTTCCCCCCGCTACTCCCCTGGGCTGCGATCCTGTCGGGAGTTTAGGCGGTGCAGCCGAGGGCGTTCGCTCACCCAATCTGTGCGGACCTGTCCGTATTATCCCCTCGTGTGTGCTTTCTTTACTTCTGGATGCACGTCGTCGTCATCGGCCGTGGTCAATCCACTGCTGGATGAAGACCTCCCCGTGCCGCCACCCCGCTCTCACGTTCTTACGACGTCACAATCCACCCGGCATCTGCACGTTAACTGACGTCATCATCGCTCCATCTCCTCCTTGGATGCATCCAGGGTCGGTCGGTGGATCGATAGTTCCCGGGGGCCACGGTTTACGTGCAACAGTCTTCGGTGCGGGGGGGGGGGGGTGGTGTTCATACTTCACCACACCGGTCAATGAGGGTTCGTGAAGGGAGCCTGGCATGGTGCGCGCGCCTCGATCTAGGAGAGCGCCTCAAACCTGCAGGGCCCTTGGGCACGCGCGCCACCACTGCGCCGCCGCAGTCGGAAGACGTCGGGTCCGTGGTGGCAACAGTGGCGGCCGCAGTCGGGTTCCGCGGGGAATGCTCTGCTCAGCGATGCACTGCCACTGACCGCCACGGACAGCTGACGCTTGAACAAAGTCCAGACGCCGCGTCCGCCAATGCGCACGCGTCCACGCCTTCTGGCATCGCCTCCACTTAGCCCCGAACCCGGAGCCGGGCGGGCGCCGCCGGCTCGCAAGCGCCGGGGTCTTCCCCTAACCCCGTGCGCGGCGGTGCAGGGGGTGTACAACCACCAATCCGAGCGACCGGCGAATGGCCCTCCCGGTGGCTAATGCGCAAAGAAAGTCAACGCCACCGCCACTGGCTCATAAACCGCGCGCTGTCTCCACGTCGCGCCACAGCGGCAGTCCCCCTCGGTGAAACACCGCGGGCTATAAATACACAGCAGCTGCCGGGACACAGAGGCTTGCCCATCCACCTCGGACAGCAGCCACAGGAACCGCCTCCCCGGGTCACGCGCCTGCAATGGATGGGGGAGCCGCTGTGGAACGCGGAACAGAGGGCACGGCCCGCACGCAGGCCACGAGCAGCAGCAGCAGCAGCGGAGACCCGGAGAGGGACAGTTGGGAAGACGCAAACATCCTCCCGAATAAGGCCCCTCTCATCCCTCTACCATCATCACCAGCATTGGGCTGCCACACATCGTGTCAGCACTGGCCAAGATAGCTGCTGTCACCTCCTCCACAAATTAAAATACATATAATCTCTCAAATGTGACTACCTCGCGCAGCGCAATAAAGAGTGGAAGGCATCGTGCTTTCTTCGTCTCTGTCAGAGTCTATGGGTCTCTGTGAGAGTCTATGGATCTCTGTGAGAGTATATGTGTCTCTGTGAGGGTCTATAAGTCTCTGGGAGCGTCTATGGGTCTCTGGGAGAGTCTATGGGTCTCTGTGAGATTATACTGGGCCCATAAGCCAGCAGCTGCGTTCACAGTTCATATCCATGTTGGTGGCATTAGCGGAGTACAGGAAAGGAAAGCTTCACTGAGTCTCAAGATTATATTTTAGGAGGGTCCTGCATTTGATTGTTTGGCCAGTTCTATTCACGGGTATTTTGCATTTGAGCGGGATCTGGAGCACCCAGAGAAAGCGCACGCATGCAAGAGGATCACACTTAAAGTTTCACACGGATGGGTTCACGAACACACCTTTTTTGTGCTGAGCGGTAGCAACATTTTTGGTCACTTCGAATCACCAAAAAACCAGAGTGGTCGTGAATTGTCGCCTAACATTTACAATCTTTCTCTTCTGCAGTCACGAAACACAGCGGCGCTTTAATTGCTTTCTTTGAAGCAACAACAAACGCCGTAAATGCTCGCGCGGCAAATGTGTTTACTGAGCGCAGCATTACGATGCGAGTCACCAACGCTGATTATGTAACGCGACGTGCTCGCTCAATCAGCTAATCCGCCCCTCCCCCCACCGTGGAAATTCATTCCGCGGCAGCTTTTAAAATCTCGTTACGCTTTGATGATTGTGTTGGGCCGCGCGTGCCTTGACAATGCCCCCCCCCCCACACCACACCGGGGGGGGGTGTCAACGATCGAGCGTTTGTGAGGGATCCCTCGGTGGCGATTGGTAGGGGTCTGGCCACGCTTGGCTGTCGTAACCGAGCCGACAAAGCGCCCAGGGGTATCTGCACCATTGCGGAGGACGCGTTGACTTCTCGGCCGCACCGAGAGATGTTTGTTCATGAGTTTGTGAGCGATAGCGCAGTGCTGACAGTCGCGCCTCGGAGCAAGAAGTTTCCCGGGTTCGATCCCCACTACCCAAGCTTTTCTTTGCGTGGAGTTTGAATGCTCCTTCCCCCCGCTGTTTTGCGTGGGATTCCTTCATTCAGAAGTGGATCGATCAACGGCTGACGGTGATCGTTGCAGGTATGAGCCAACATTGGCATAATTTTGCCCGTCAATTGTGGACAAATTCTTCGCGTGCAGAAGAAAAAAACAACCCCCTCCAAAAACTCCTGGACGAACAAACAACAGAACAACAGAACAGCCACTCAACTCGCTCTCTCTCTCTCTCTCGCTCTCTCTCTCTCGCTCTCTCACTCTGGGTTGGCCTCAAAGAGCTCCGAGAGTGCGGGCGACCCACGCTGCCCGACGCGCGCGAAGCCGACGATCGCACAAGAGAAGGAGAGCCGCGTTTCCCCCTCCAACATCCGCCGGTGCGCGCTCGATAACGATCCGAGGCACCTTGTCCCCCGAGGTCCACGGCATTTGCCTGCCAGCCGAAGAGAAACGCCAAATTAGTTCGTCGGCTCAAACCAACTCTGGGGGGCCCTCTCGCCCGCTGCTTAGCAGCCGCGTTTTTGCCGATGGCCTGGGGAGCATTCTGGGGTGGGAGGAGGGTCCCGGCCGTGGGCCTGAACGCAAGACGACGAATTGGGTTTAATTGGGGCAGCAGGATGACGAAGTGGTCACGCTGAGTGCCTCGCAGCAAAAATGCCTGGGTTCGACTCTCCACTCTGGCGACTTTCAGTTTTGGATCTCGTAGATTCTCTGTACCCCTCTCCAGCGTGGGGTTCCGTCGAATTCTTCGGCGTCCTCCCATAGCACAACACTGTCACCAATATTGGCCAAACATCCCAGCGGTGAAACATTACCCGTGTAGCGACTCCGACGACACAGTAATGAGAAGAGCCACTTTTATTTAAAGACTTCCACAATACGGGACCCTACTCAAGACTTTTACACAATAAGGGACCCCAGGGCTTCGTCCGTGTCTTCCCGCTTGTATCTCCCTCCGAGCGTCCCCCACTCCTCGTGCTCTCCCCTTATACCTCCCTCAGCCCCCTTTCACGTCCTAGTTTCTACCTCTAGCCAATCCCTGTCCATTCCCTTTAACGGATCCATTTTGTTTTCTCGTTCAACTCCCTTATTAAATCTTGACGTAAAGCTTTCGTGACTGCAGGTATTCATATTCTTTGGGTCTTTCGGTAAAAATAAAATAAGAAAACTACGACGTTTCGATCGCAACACAAGCGGTCGTTACTCACCCACCCACTCATCCACTCACCAACCCACCCACTCACCCACTCACCAACCCACCCACTCACCCACCCACTCACCAATCCACCCAACCACCCACTCACCCACCCACCCACCGATCCACTCACCAACACACCCACCCACTCAACCACCTACCCACCCACCTACTCACCCACCCACTCACCAACCCATCCACTCATCAAACCACCCACCCACTCATCAACCCACCCACCCACTCACCAACCCACCCACTCATCAACCCACCCACCCACTCACCAACCCACCCACTCATCAACCCACCCACCCACTCACCAGCCCACCCACTCACCAACCCACCCACCCACTCACCCACCCACCTACTCACCCACCCACCCACTCATCAGCCCACCCACTCACCCACCCACTCACCCATCCACCCACTCACCAACCCACCCCCACCGTCCCCCGCACGTTGCTGATCTGCAGCTCATGGCCCACCATCGATCGTTCCCGGCCAAACAATGGGGGTGGGGGGGGAAGGGGGGGAGAGCCGCTGAGCGAGCTTCATAAATAAGTCGCTCTCACCTTCACGCAGACTTTCAAGACCCATCTGCAAAAAAAAAATAACAATATCACTCGCGAGAGTTAAAGCCGTTTTGTGGTCCGCGTCGAGGCACAATGCGCTAATCTGACAATTACTCACGGATGATAATGACCGTCCCGCCTCTCCTCTCTGCACACTGCCTTGCGAGTGCCGCTCTACTCGCAATCTCGAGCAGCCAGTGCCCAACTCAGCGGACTCGACCCATCAACAAACGTTATTTTTAAACTTTCAAACGATGGGGGGCGTCATCGTGGTCAATGCCGCTGATGCCCCCCCCCCCCACTCGACTCCTCCTCGCCCCCCCCATGCGACACCCACGCTCCCTACCCACCCACCACCACCACACTGCGGATCAACATCCACACTGCTGCGTTCACTCACCACACACTGCAGGTCACCTCGCTTCACGTTTTGCTCCTTTCTTCCCACTGCTCCACTCTGGAATTCCCTTCTCCTCCTCTTCCTCCTCCTCCTCCCATCACCATCATGATGTTTGTCTATTCCCAACCCCAAGCTCTTACAACAACAATCGCCTGACTCTATTCAAGCGGACGCGTAACACCCTCAACTATTACAGTTTTGACGTTAGTGCTGTTTGTTGCTGGCCATTTGGCGTTTTTGGCCCTTTAGGACCTGTGGTCACTGATGGAATATAAAAAAACCCAAGTCTAATAATCCATTAGCGCAGTAAACCTGGCCCCTGTCATATCCTTTGGTGATATTCGTCATTGTCATAGAAGCGGACATCTGTGACAAAGAGCTTCATAGCTCATCGGATTCCTCCGTTATCAAATACATATTTTGATTCACAAACGTGGGATTCCCACCACTGCCAAAGGGCTGCCAATAGAGATAACTCTAGATCGAGATAAGTGTTTCCCAACATTAATTTAAAGGGATTTCACGTTGAATAAACCTTGTAAGCAAACGACTCTCGGGTTTTCTTCTAACGTTCAGATTATTGTTGTCCCAATGCAAGAGAAAGTTGACCACGTGGGCTGTGTGTTGACCGAGCCACGCGCACCTCTCATCTCTCTCTCTCTCTGCGGAGTTCATGGAAGATCCATGCGCACATAATCCCCGGCACTCGACGGCTGCGTCTCTGTGTGATCCACAAACCCCGCGTCGAAGTCTCTGGATGGGCAAGTGTCCCATTGGCAACAGACGCTTTAGATTTAATTTTCACGAAATATGTTTTTCTTCTCTCCCAGGCCCCCCGACAGCATTTTCCAGACGTCCGCCTCGAACTGCCTCGCTCGCACCGCCCTCCGTGGACGTCAGCACCTCGAAATATTTTCTGGAGATCAGCCTCGGACAGCTCCGGCTGCAAATAGACCCCAGCGATGAAGGAATGTAAATCCCCGTCTTGTGTCCCCGAGACGTTGCGAGGGCAGATCCAGGCGAGGTGATCATGAACGCCGCTTGAAGTCGCCCCTCGCGCCGACGGCGAGAGGCGACGCGCGTCCTTTCAGGGGGAGCTCTCGACAAAGGCGCTCCCCAGAGCTCTTGCATTGGAGCCCTTTGATTTCTTGTTTTGATTTCTTGTTTTCTCCCGGCCTTCCTCGACTCCTCTGCTCACTGCACCCCGTTAATTCCATTAACCCACCCCCCTCGTCTCCCCTCCCTCCAAAATGGCTCTTCCGTCTCGCCCATAATTTGCATCTCAATTATTGCCAGACCTTTTTGTTGTTGTTGTTGTTGTCCGATTGAGTTGTCCACCGCGCCAATCTCATTCGACCGTTCTCCGCGTTCCTTCTCATCGGCTGTGCTGCTCGGCACGTCACGGTTTCGGGTGACAGCCAATCAGTGGGAAGGGTCACCCGCATGTGGACCGACAAGCTAATTAGACCTGCTGGGTGTATTATTGTTGTTAGTAATTGACAGAGTTCGCATCTCCGCATCGCTGCACGTGCTCGTGTTTTAGTACCTCGGACACACTGAGAGATCCCTGAGAGGGCGGGCCGATAACTGCATTTGAGGGACCGTAGATTTGTGGTTTAACCTTCTGCGGAAGGACGGGGAAAAAATCTCGCGGTTTTTCTTCCTCTCCCTCTCCCTCTCCTTCTCCCTCTCCCTCTCCTTCTCCTTCTTCTCTCTCTTTGCGGGGAGAGCATCGCCACTCTCACCTCGGGGTGAATTACCGCGCCCAGAGCGTCCCTCGATCCCTCGGCGCACGAATCCCGCACCAAGCGCCGTGAACGCGCCGTGCCGAGCCCCCTCTGAGTCGACGCGCCGCGCCGAGCCCTCTTTGAGTGACACCGCGGGGCTGAGACGGCGTCCGTGATGAGCGCGGCCTCCGACGGAGTCGTTGGGCCGAGCCGACGAAGGCGAGCAACGACGCCTGGTCGCTTCTGTCTCCCCACTGCTGAACTTGATAAAATATCACGTGAAAAAAAGAAAGCGGGCACAGTGTTTGATGATCCAGAACTTAACTCCATGATCACTCGCTCACATGCGGGACGTCCCCTCTCTATCATTCTCCCATCGCTATTGCCATGGTTACTGGTCCTGTGAACTCATTGATTCCTCCACCCATGATGAGGACTCGGTCTGCCAGACGGACTCTTTCATCTCAACCACACCGCGTTCAGCCACCCCCACCACCACCACCATCCCACCGCAGGTCACCTCACTTATCTTTCTGATTCTTCCCTCGCGCTGCTTGACTTCCGAATTCCCTCCTACCACCGTCGTCTCCTTCCCCAAGCTCTTAAAATAAATAACCTTGCTCAATTTCTATAAACAGTGTAACTTTTATCCAGTGCAACTGTGAGAGTGCTGTTTATTGCTGGCCGCTTGTCGTATTGGACCTTTGGACCTGTGCTCAGCAACTGTGTCAATCGTAAGACTCGATTTAATGAGCGTGCTGCATTGGAATGTTTGTCCAATCCCATTCATTATGAGCATTGCATATGGGTGGATGGGTGAGTGCGTGAGTGGTTGGATGAGTAGGGAGGCACCACTCTCCCCGCACCACTCTCCCCGCACCACTCTCCTTTCATCACTCTCCTTTTATCACTTTCCCTGCTCCACTCTCCCTGATCCACTCTCCCTGCTCCACTCTTCATGCTCCACTCTCTCTCTGCTCCACTCTCTCTGCTCCACTCTCTCTGATCCACTCTCCCTGCTCCACTCTCCCTCCTCCACTCTCCCTGCTCCACTCTCCCTCATCCACTCTCCCTCCTCCACTCTCTCTCCTCCACTCTCTCTCCTCCACTCTCCCTCCTCCACTCTCCTTCCTCCACTCTCTCTGCTCCACTCTCTCTCCTCCACTCTCCCTCCTCCACTCTCCTTCCTCCACTCTCTCTGCTCCACTCTCTCTCCTCCACTCTCTCTCCTCCACTCTCCCTGCACCGCTCTCCGTGCTCCACTCTTCATGCTCCACTCTCTCTCCTCCACTCTCTCTGCTCCACTCTCTCTCCTCCACTCTCTCTCCTCCACTCTCCCTGCACCGCTCTCCGTGCTCTTGCCCTTTGCCGGATACGTCGAGACAATTAGATGGCAATTAAGCACTTTTATTTATTTAAATAGAAGGATTCCAAACGTGACTCATGGGAACTGTGATGCGGCGAGTTAATTACAAGCCACGCGGCGCTCTGTGCTTGCAATGAGCAACGCGGGCACGCGCGCGCGCGCGCTCTCCCAAACACGCGCGCGCGCACATTCATACAATGACAAAGGTCCCCTGCGTAGCCTTTCACAGACTCTCGGAGCAAGTTGCTGTGAGCGGGATTCTTATTGAGGCGAGCTGAGAGCTCGAGAGGGTGGCTGTGGCGAGCACCCTGCCCGACCGCATGTGTTTCCTCCTACCCCCAGGTACTGATTAAGGATACAACGCAATTTTTTTTGTATCAGCATTACCATTGAGCTGTAGAGCTCTGTTTCAGCTGCGACCTGGCTATCACAAATGATAATAGCTCGGCGAAGCGGCTCTATCGTCACGTGGACATTTACAGCAGCTGCCAAACGATCCAAACGCGTGACGTTGTTTCGAAATGTGGAGCGGTGAAAACCGGAGGACCCGGAGAAAAAGCCACGCGACCATCGGGAGAGAGAGAGAGAGAGGCACGCAAACTCCGAATATACAGCAGGCGTCAGGGGCGAGCTCGAACCCGCGACCTCCTGTATATCCGGCGAGGTAGGTAACATCTCGCCACCACGGCTGAGTTACCCTAGACTCAGGTACTCACTTCACCACCTGTCCATGGTTTTCTCAGTCTCCTCGTCCTGTTGTTGAGGAGGCGGCTGCTGTACCGGGAATCACGAGGACGTGAGAAGCCTCGGGTTGCGTCAGTTTGTCCAAACAATGGCAATCACAAATCCACCCACCCGCCGCCCTCGAATAGAGAGAGAACGCGTCCAACACGCGGCTTTGCCCTCGTCTGCCACTGCCAGATTTGCGTCTCGACTTCTCCGCGTGCAACGCGTCCCAGGGAGTGGCACGAAGTCGAACCCGGCGCTTCCACCTCGGCGCTGTGAGTCTGCGTCTTGGCAGTGGTGCGCTGACCACCAATAACAAGGGACGCTCAGCACAGTGCCCGATAACCCCGAGGCCCTAGAAGTAAACCCGAGACATATTCTTAGCTCTTTCGGTAAAGTCACGTTGAAGGGAAACAACAAAATAATAAAATATATATAGAACAATAAAAAATTCTCACGACGTTTCGACCATAACAGAAACGGTCATCATCAGGTGTGAAAAACCCAACGGCAAGAAACATTTGAAAGAAGTGTCGGTTCGCATTAATTGATTTATTTAAAAACGGTGTTTGCATTTATTTATAAAAAAACGTTAGCGCCACGGGCAGCGATTTGGCAGTTCATTTAGAAGGACGAGTCCATCTATGTTCTGAAAAGAGGAGGGGGGAGACGAAAAATTAATGTATGCTGTCTGAAAGCCACCGTAAGCGTGAACAATCAATTAAGACCTGAAATGGTTTATCAAATCCTTCCAATGATTGCTAAGCCAGAATCCATCTTCTCGGTTAAAATTGTCTCTGTGCTTGTATATGTGGATAGCCTCATGAACGAATCTCTCATGGTAGCCAGATGGCTTACAAAGAACCTCTGTTTGTGTTATGGTCGAAACGTCGTGAGAATTTTATTGTTTTATATATATTTTATTATTTGATTGTTTCCCTTCAACGTGACTTTACCGAAAGAGCTAAGAATATGAATTACTGCAGTCACGAAAGCTTTAAATCAAAATTTAAACCCGAGACGTTCGTGGGTGACCTGTCGCACCCTGGACATTCTTCATAGCAGAGAGAACAATTCTGGGAAGATGGGCCATTGCACCAAAATGTAATGTATTTTATATATATATTTGGATCTTTCAGGGCAACATTGTCACCGAGGAGAGTGTGAAGTCTGCGCTGTCTGACACTGAAACGCAGCGAGCAGGGCCGCAACGCACGTCACTGGGACCACGTTGACACCTGCAGAGTAAGAGGTGCACATCCACCTACACGCACACCCACCCACACGCACACCCACCCTCCCACACGCACACCCACCCACACGCACACCCACCCACCCACACGCACACCCACCCACACGCACACCCACCCACACGCACACCCACTCACACGCACACCCACGCACACCAACCCACACGCACACCAACCCACCCACACGCACACCAACCCACCCACACGCACACCCACCCACCCACACGCCCACACACCCATACCCACCCTCCCACACGCACACCCACCCACACGCACACCCACCCACACCAACCCACCCACACGCACACCCACCCACACGCACACACACCCACACGCACACCCACCCGCACACCCACCCACACGCACACCCACCCACACGCACACCCACTCACACGCACACCCACGCACACCAACCCACACGCACACCAACCCACCCACACGCACACCAACCCACCCACAGCACACCCACCCACACGCCCACACACCCATACCCACCCTCCCACACGCACACCCACCCACACGCACACCCACCCACACCAACCCACCCACACCCACACCCACCCACACGCACACACACCCACACGCACACCCACCCACCCGCACACCCACCCACACGCACATCCACCCGCATACACGCACACCCACCCACCCGCACACCCACCCACACGAACACCAACCCACACGCACACCAACCCACCCACACGCACACCAACCCACCCACCCGCACACCCACACGCATACACGCACACCCACCCACACGCACACCCACCCACACGCACGACCCACCCACCCCCCGGCACACTCCCACACTCTCGCAAACACAACACCGCCTCTGAACCGCGGAGCCGTCGGCCGTGCTAGAGAACTCGCAAGGCGGCTCCCGCTTGGCCCTGCGCTGGCAGGCAGCCGTGGGCGGGTGGCCCGGGCGGTGAGTGGCGAGGACACGGAGCTGACAGACAGCGAATCCGTCACGGAGCGCGGTTCCAGAATGTAGCAATGCGGTGCTGCTGGGTAGTTGTGGACGGATGTTCCTGGCGTTGGGGAACATCCAAATGTGGCAGGATGGTGCTGTGGTGAACACCCGCGCCTCACAGCAGCAAGGGCGGAGGTTCGATTCACGACTCGGGAGCCTTTCTGTGTATGGTGGGCGAGTGTGTGTGTGGAGTGTGTGTGTGTGGAGTGTGTGTGTGTGTGGAGTGTGTGTGTGTGGAGTGTGTGTGTGGAGTGTGTGTGGAGTATGTGGAGTGTGTGGAGTATGTGGAGTGTGTGGAGTGTGTGTGTGGGGAGTGTGTGTGTGGAGTGTGTGTGTGTGTGGAGTGTGTGTGTGTGTGTGGAGTGTGTGTGGAGTGTGTGTGTGGAGTGTGTGTGTGGAGTGTGTGTGTGGGTAGTGTGTGTGGAGTGTGTGTGTGGAGTGTGTGTGTGGAGTGTGTGTGTGGAGTGTGTGTGTGGAGTGTGTGTGTGGAGTGTGTGTGTGGAGTGTGTGTGTGGAGTGTGTGTGTGGAGTGTGTGTGTGGAGTATGTGTGTGGAGTGTGTGTGTGTAATGTGTGTGGAGTGTGTGTGTGTATAGTGTGTGTGTAGTGTGTGTGTGGAGTATGTGTGTAGTGTGGAGTGTGTGTGGAGTGTGTGTGGAGTGTGTGTGTGTGTGGAGTGTGTGTATGTGTGTGTGTGGTGTGTGGAGTGTGTGTGTGTGGAGTGTGTGTGGAGTGTGTGTGGCAAGGATTATTCAATATCGCCTTGCCAGGCACGCTGAGGAGAGGCTTGCGGAGCCCCAATGCGGTTTCAGGAAAGGGCGGTCCTGCACAGATGCCATATTTTCTGTCCGTCTGCTACAGCAGAGGTGTAGGGAATTCCAACAAGACCTACATCTCTGCTTTATTGACCTGGTCAAGGCCTATGATACCATCAGTAGGCCTGGGCTCTGGGTTGTTCTTCGTGCTTTTGGAGTACCTGACCCTCTGCTCACGATCATTAAGGACCTTCATAATGGTGAGCGGGCCCGGGTAAAACTGCGTGGCCGGGAGTCAGAGCCATTCCCTGTACACCTTGGGGTGCGACAGGGATGTCCTCTGGCTCCCACATTATTTAACATCTATTTTGACCACGTAGTTCGTGAAGCCTTCAATAGCTGTACCGGGGGAATCTCCATATGGTACAGATATAATGGGAGGCTGATCGATGCCCGGGTGCGGTCAAGGGATGGCTCCGCTATTGCTCAACCACGTTATGTATGCTGCTGATTTGGTAATAGCTGCTCATTCAGAGGAGGAGTTGGAGACGCTGCTGC